GCCTTGCAGAGTTTAGTAGGCTAGGAAGCGCTGAAAAGAAGCAACCCCTGGTTCCCTTAACAATGCATGTACAGTCAATGTTGAGCAAGGTAGAGTTGGAGCCATGGCAAGGTGAGGCAGGAGCTTTTTTGCGGACGGCTCAGCATTGCCGTAAGAAAAGCTAGTTCTGAGCATGCATCCCATCTTGGTTGCTTTGGAATTTGGTGTTCATTAAACAAGTTGTTCAGAACTACAATAACGCATATACATGGATGCTTCATAGTTCCTTGGGACTTGGCTTACTGCGAAATATTCACTCTTGCGCTTTCTTGGATCGCTCCTCCTTTGAGTGAGCTGTTCAAGAAAGCAATGTCAATGACCTGAATAGAGCAGGTTGAGGTCGCTGTAAGGATGCTTGCCGACCTCCTTACAGCTCCATGAAATTTCGTTCTACCCAATCAATAGCGTCATTTCTTCTTAGGGACCAATGATAGTGACGTATAGGGTGTTTCTGTTTCTCAATAGGCTACTGATGCTCCAGGGCACCAATGTATTGCTTGCTACTTTTGTGGCTCCACCCAAATCGAGCAGAGGTACTGAGTGAGGAAATAGGAACTTACGGCAGTGTTGCTGTTGCGGGTACAATGCCGACATTAGTATGGTCGTCTTTTCACTGCTCACCACTGATCAGCCTTCAGTGGGCCTTATGATAGTTTCAAGATTTCGGAAAAGTTTGAAATGGTGCGCTGGCTTGGGCGCCGGCTGCAGTAAGACTCCATACTGAGGTATTTCAAAGTTATCAGCGACGTAACTACCGGCACGCCCCCACGACACCCTAGTAATTCACCATTGAGCACCGTGATTGCTCTTGTCCGGGACGACTTGAGGCTTTCACCCAAGTCTTGTGAGTCTGATGCCTTTGAGAACCTTGCATTCACAACTATCGGCAAAATAGAGAATGGAGAAAGTGCGGATCACGAAGAGGTTCACAATACCCGGCTGGGGTGCTAAACAAAACGAGTATTCCTCCGCTGTGGCATTCCAACCTTCTTTCGCAGTGCCGAATTACGCAATAGATATGAAAACGATCTATCGGCCCACGGTAGGAATCACACGATGCAAAGCCCTCAGCGCTCTCATAATGGCTTGGCATGCGTCCCCCGGCAGAAGAGTGTGGAGTGCCATGCCAAAAGCTTCAGCAGCTGCATCCGCGCAGTGGCCCTAGACTCCGCATTTCGCAAAGCCTTCTGTGCCTAAAAGATAAAAGACTGATCCAAATACGCGCGTCATTGTTGGGGGCTGGAGTTCATGGGTCAGGATAGCATGTATCGGGCTGTTAACATACTCAGCAGATCTGCCCAGTTGAGCCCTTGCCCCAGCTCTGGCAGGGCCCAGAATGGCTCTCGATTATTCTTTACTCATGTCTGGAGGCTCCGTGCATTCCCTAAAAGTATCGATGCGGAGAGGGATTTCAAGTTCGCTACTGCATTCTTGCGTGCCTTTATGACCAGCCTACACATTGACAATAATGTAACCGCTGCATATCACCGTGAGGCAGATGGACAGACAGAACTTACCAATCACATTCTACAACACTTGAGACTTTATACTCACAAGAACTCAATTCCTTGGCTCAAGTTTGTTCTTTTATGAGTGAGCTTATAATAAGACACTACATGTGCCTACCTGTTGCTCTCCTGCTTCCTTGGTCTACATATAGGAGCCCATTCCGATCCGGCTCTTAGCTTGTCCGGGTCGGCCAGTCTTCCTTTGTAGTGGAGGGATTCGGGGAAAATTTGGCCCGTGCACGCGAATGTATACACAAAGCCCAAAGGAGGCACGTTTAAAGCTACGATAAGCGGCGGTAGGCTGTGGTTTGAGCCTAGTGGTTTAGTGGTGGTGGATCGGCAGACTTTACTAGGTGCACCAGAAACTTATCAGGCGAAGACCTGTGCGGCCAGGTGACCAAGACCTTGTGCAATTCCTTTACAAATCAATGTTCGTTCCTAGTGTGCCTATTTTACTAGAGGTAAAAGAGCCGCAGTCGTATCAATATTGCCTTCCCAAAGAAGCTTCCAACTCCATCAACTATTGGCAGGCTTTACTGGCTACTAGAGAACCGGTGTGAGGTGGAGGATCCACATTTCGTCATAGAGATGCTGAATTCTAGGATTTTAGAGCGCCGAGGCCACACTAGACAGAAGCTTATGTTAAATGCGATGGGAAATTCAACCTTAATATTTGATGAAGGAACAGTTGCTGACTTCGTTGCCAGCGTGAGAACCTGCAGCCCCGTTTGGGTGACAATGCTAGCCGCCATGGGCGGTATTCCTCTCGCTTTTTAGTAGCCGTCCTCCCCCAATGCATGTTCGGTGCCCAAAATAGCTACCTCCATCTATATGTGTGCTTCAGATCCATTAGGTTGTTAGTGCCATACTGTCCTCTACGTTTAGACTCATGCGGAGACACTCAAAAATATCGTCTCGGCACTCTTATTTATGCTTGTATTGGGGCTTAGGAATCAACTACGCTGCACGCACCGGCTGTTTTAGCATGCAGACACTGCTTTGTGAGTGGTGGAGCCACTACTGAACAAATAGGTACTTGGCCCTGTTTTTAAGCAATTTCCTTGTCTTCTGTTTTCGGGTAGCCACACATTTTTGCACCCGGGGCACGCCTAGCCATTGCGACCCCACTCGCACGTTAATATTTTCCCTCGCTCGTTGTCGGCTATTGTGCATGTCTTTCTTCCCTCTTGTTTCGCTTGAAGGGCTGATGCACACTTTGCCATCGTCATTTGCAGTGTTTCCCCACGTGTTCGCGTGCCTGGGGAAGTGGCGCTATGGCGGGAATACTTTTCCTATCCTGCATGCAGTTGGCCTCGACTGGGCAAGACAAAAAAAATGCCTTTTAAAATGGAAATAGGAAGATGAGGGCTGAAGTAAACGCATTGGTTGTCTAGTACACTGGTTAAATTTAGAGCTAGTGAAAATGTGCCAGGGATTGGTTTGGCTGTTCGTGTTGCTGTTTGTCACAAAATATTATCACCTCGATACAGCAAGACTGGTTATTATGTTCTTGAGCTCTGAATGCTACGTACAACTAGCTGTGAACGCTCAGAATGCTTTAAGTGTGCAGGCACGTGCACGCTACCTGGTCCCCCGCTCATGTTGGGGCCCCAAAGGGCGCTGCTAGTAGGACGGGGAAGCGTCTTCCAGAGGCTATAGGTTTTCGCTATACTTTCCAGAGAGTCTGCACTCAAGTATTTTCCTTCAAAGTACCTAGATGCATTGTTTCCGCAAATGCATGGGCTAATGTTATATTTGGGGGAGATGGGCTAAAGACTCGAAGCGCCATTCACTGGCCACGTATCAAATAATGAGATCCCAGAGCTTTGCCAACCCCTAATGCCCAAAATACTAAACATCTTGAGAAATGCTGAGGGGGTTTAGCACAGCTTCAGTATCGTTCGGGGGATCTGGCCACTGAGTACAGGTGAAGGCTTTTGAACTCAGCAGTCCACATCAACCGAACAAGAAGTTATTCCCTTACTTAACTTTTCAAAAACACAAAATTAATGGCAGTAATGAGTTCAATGGTTTGACTTCACTTCGTGTTTCACAGAGCATGCACATGCAGCCACTGCCACGTGCACGGCAATCAAGCGGTTTGACGCATATAGCTTTATTGGAGATAATAGATGTAGTTTGCCATATTTCTCACCATAAAAGTAACAATCAATGTGAGGCCTTGTCAATCAGGACCGATTATACCTCATTTTAAGCTCAACAAGTGCTCCTTCACTGTCAAGGCACCGTGTTTCAGTAATTCTTCCTTGGATTTTGAACAGCGCACTACTCCGGCCATTAACTCTCCCTTTTCAGGTTTCCTGCTGTATTACTGCGTGCTTTCCGGCAGAAGGAAGCACGGGTAGGAACAGTGCTGCCCGTCACCTCAGGCCGCTTTTCTGGAGTGTCACCATGTGAGGGCCATCCCAAGGTTAGGCATCACAGTCAGTGTGGATCTTCATCGCACGCCTTCTTCTGAGAGGTCGTGAAACTTCAACCAAACCTCTACATTGCTTCGGGCGTCGCAATTGGACTGCAGAGAATGAAGATCAACTGGGCATTTGCTGTCTCCCTCGTGGGTCTTCTGGTCACGTCTTGGTATTACGTCAATATGCTAACTCTGACACAGCAGCTGCAACAGGCGAACACACTGAATGCAATGCATGCGGAGTATTCTTCGTCAAAGACGCTGGAGGCCCTAGAGATTCTTGAGGAGTTCATAGACGAGCGAGGCGTCGTGAAGTACGCCTTTGATTTTCTAGAGCTAAGGAAGAAACGGGATGCCAAAGGTCGGGCTATAGACCGTGCCCGGCGGCATCTCACCCAGTGGTTCTCTCGTGTGCAATACTTCTACGAATTTGGTTATCTTAAGCACGAATACATACTGCGATTTCCAGGCCCAGAGAGGAGCCGGCACTTTCTCTACCTTATTGAACCACTGGAATTCATCAGCCGCAGGGCAACCGGCAGGAAGCATTCCGGCGTATTTGACTTCCTAAGAGAGGTGTACCAAATGCCACACGTACGGTTATCTGACGAATTTAGGCAAACTGTAGAAAGCATGCTGCCCCACCCAGGGGAAGAAGAAAGTCCTGAGGCCATCTTAGATGACGTGGGCGACGATCCACCAGCGGATGCAGAGGAGAGAAAGAGAGAGGAAATGTGAATTATGGCATTCTAGGAACTGGTGCTTGTACAGCGACGTGTGGGTGGATCCAGCCGTGACGTCTGCCTGCCGGGCGGACCAGCAGTAGGCACGTCAGTACGTGAGCGGCGAATTAGTGGTAGCAAGGTTTGGGAGAGAAGTAGAGAAACTACACACAAGGCCTGGTTCCCTCTTTGAGTTGGGAAGGAGCTGCTTCTCACAATTCCGTCTTCTGGCGATTTGCACAACGTGTCACACATAGGAAGTGACTGGCGACTTGTGCCTCTTGTTACCTACACCATAAATCGTGTTTTACTCACGGAATGCAGCATCCAGCCCGTCAGGAACGCGGGAAATTCAACAATCAGCGGTGGGCTGTGTGAAGTGGGCTTTGTTGATTACACAAAAATCAATCCGCTTTGGCAGTCGCTACCACATGCCGAAGCACTTGTCTGTTTCTCACGCGGCCAAAGGGAGACATAGACTGCAGCTAATCCCGAACCCTTCAGCGGCGGGGCATTACAGCTGCTGTTTCTTTTTTTGGTGTATGCAGTTGTCTCCAAGAGCACTCCACAGTATAGCCATGCGGCTAGAGCGTTTGTTCTACGAAGATGAGAAATGCGGGAGAGAAGCGTCAATTGTAGCGTCATCGATACATTAGGGTGAGATATGCGTCGCAGTCCTTGGTTTCAACTGCACCTAGAAATGACTCAGACGTATTGTGAAAACAGTACTCTTGCTTGAATCATTGCCAGCTACCTGCCAGCCACTGCGTGCTACCCACAGTTGCTGCTGAAAGGCTCCAGAGGCCAGCACACTGGGCGAATGCGCCATAACTCTCCTGTGGCCCATAGACCTAGTGGCTGCACCACCTAGGAAGCTACAGACTTAGTTGCTGAGGAGCACCTTCACGAACTGGGCATAATTTATGCGGCCCGTTTTGTTGGGATCTGCGTCTTGGATCATTTTATCGACTTCATCGTCAGTTAAGAGATCTCCCAGTGTCTTGATGACCTGCAGATTCAACCAGCACGACGCCTAGGATAGAAGTCCACAAGCAGTTTTGCGAATATGCACCGTGGAACCAATGTTCTTCTGTACCGATGAAGGCGAAAAGCTGATCACTTTATTGGCACCGTTGCAACAATATATGCTCAGCAACGTATATACTGCACGGAGCCTAGCCGCAAGAGCTGCCCAGTAAGAGATGAGCGCATAATTACCGACATGTCCATGCATTCATGCCGCTTGTCCTACCTGGGTAAGTTCGTCAGTGGAGAGGGTGCCGTCACCCTTTGTGTCGAAGACCTTGAAAGACTTGATGAGATCGGCCTCTGGGTTAGCACCGCTCATCTTCTTAGATACCCAGCCCTCAAACTGCTCCCAGGACATGGACTGAAAAAAGGCAAAATAACACACATGCATACAAACCGAAATTATGCACCGGTGACCAGAACTGTCGCAGCCAACAGGCCTACCAATAAACTGACGTGAACAACTGCAAAAGTTAAGACAATCCCATAATTTTCTTGAGGTTTGCGGACACAAGAATTGGGCCAAATAAACCTTTGGCTGATAATTCCGCAAGGTGTGAGAAGAGCTCCCATGAATAGAAACAAGCTTGAGACTTTGAACAGATCCTTAGCAAACAGAATTGCACTTCTAGCTGCGACTTACCGCAGGCATGCCGTCGGATTCTTCAGACGATACCACAACCCCAGTTGAGCGAAGTGCGAGGAGTGCCTCGCTGGCAGTCAATTCTCCATCACCATCTCTGTCGAAAAGAGCGAAAGCTTCACGCAAACGAGCAGTGGATGCCATTTTCCACACATGTACAGGCCTTCAGCTCCACGACGAACCCTGCGAATCACAAAACCCAGCCAGAGAGCAATCACTGTTTATTGGGCTTCTCCGGAAACTAAGCAGAGAGAACATGTCAAAAGAATACCAGAATGCACTAGTGGCTTAACACTGCACTTTGGTTTGATGTGGAACCCGCTGTGAGATTGCCAGGCAGATGGCTCCAGCACACTGGTCCTCGGGGTTTTACTGTCTCTGGAATGTCACGTATCCCCCAACACTGGAGCAAGTGTTTGGTTGAAAGTCACAGAGATCTGAGGGGGTGTCATGCCAATTCGAATCATGCATGAAGATGCGCAGTTGGGCCGACTGTCAGGACTGGCGAGCGCCGTACGCGGACCGCCAAACAAAACGGCTGCAGGAACGTCAGATAAACCCACCAACGGATGATACTCTGATACTATATTGGATGTGTGTGTAGCAAAATATCGCTGGACCAAAAATTTGCTCAACAGCAGCACCCCCTTCACTCGACGTGCCCAACGCTGCTAGGTGATAGCGTGGCTTGACAGACGCACTTGGAGCTGGACCAGGCATTCCTTGCGATTCGAGTTTGAGCAAACTCCTTTTTCTAGCCCTTTCCCCTGGTTTGATATCATTCTCTATGCTTGATAGATTACTCCCAATATTGCTTTTCCTACATCCCAAAGATTCTCTTCCTATGGCTCTCAATGACCACTAGAGTACCCACATCATGCATACAGTACACAGGACGCTGCATGTATTTATGTGCCACTCTGCGCGTTATTCCATGCTCATTCTTCTATTTGCTAAAGTTCTTCACTCTTCATATGGCTTCCTTTGCAGGTCAGCTGCTTCGTTTCCCAAGCGGTTATTTAGCCCTTCACAGTGCTGAGGGTCAACGGGCGAAACGTCTGCTGTCCGCAGGTCAATGCACAACTGGTTAGCCCAGAAACCATCGGCTTCTTCTGATCTCTTAGTGCATTTTTCTATCTTCACTTTTCCTTGTGGCGCCGCTATAACTGTCTCACTCGGATAATAGTTTTCCCATAGCTTGGGATACCTTGGACGTTCCGTGTAAGGTCTTCACAGGGAGTTGTACAGGGCTAATTACCTAAACGCACTTTCTAGTGCATCATTTTATTCGATTCACATACGGTAAGCATTCGCCTGGTCAGCTTCTTGTGGTCTTTTGGCTTTTTTATTCCATAGGAGTCTGCTTGTGCCCTAGATCTTACGTGCAGCTACCTGAAGTCTTCGTGCTGCTGAGATAGTGTAGCAGTCAGCACGCTAGCTAACCTTCTCGCATCATATCGAAAGCTCGTAGGGTCAAGGGCAGCGGAAGCCGGGAGCTCCATCAAGGATTGCTAACACATTTCCAACGTTTCTATTGAGTGTTGTGTACAGGGTCCCCATTGGGGAACCTTAAATGGATGTTACGGCTGGTAGCACAAAGTAATTCAATCCATCTCTGCTCCGCTCATCTACTCGCTGATGCAGCTCAATGTCTAACTTCTCGTCAACACTTCTTCGGTTTTGACTACATTGTTTGATCCTTCAATAATATGGTGTCTTCGACATGTTAGACGAGAAAGAAGGTTTTTGCCACAGAGCAGTTAACGGTCAAAACAACGCCTCTTGGGGCGACAGAGGCCGCCCTGCAAGCTAATGTAAACGCGCTGTCTCCACCGCTGGCAGAAAGGCATGTTTTATCAGTCGCTGCAATGTGAATGCATCCATGAGGCTAGGCCAAGCAGCAAAGCATAACGGCAGTAAGGATTGGCGAGTGTCCGAAGTTATCATCAGCCAGTTTGAGACTGAGCTTGCTTTTTACTCTATTGATATAGAGAAACTACT